ATTGGAAGCTTTGTTATTGTTTCCGTTGCCACAATGTAGGACCTTACACTTCATCATTCCCACGACAGCCGGTTCTACGTACCGGAATGACTCGGGTTTCACCCGACCAAGGGCTGTTGTTTCGTTGATCTAACCCCGTTTAGGTCGGCGAAGTATCTCAGAAGTTGTCCGTCCATAGGGCTACATTCAGTACGTATTCTCCTACTCAGGGCTGGCATCGAGTCAAACCCAGGGCCAGAAACATACACCTGCTATGTATGCCGGAGACGATTAAACCACAACTCCACCTCAGTCAAGTGTAATGCCTGCGAGGGGTGGAATCACCTCAGAGTCTGCTCGGGACTACGGACACATAGACAGTGGACCACGTCGTACGTGGCCCCCTGTTGCTCAAACAGAGCAGCCTCCACGGCTAACCACAGTCCGCCCGAGCAGCCCCACACACTCACACAGCAGCCTCACACAGTCACCACAACACAACAACATAATAACACCACAGACCGTACCACAGCCACTACAGACCACATAAAACACACAACCGCACCACCACCCACACGCCGCCGCCAACAACTCCTGGTTCCCCCTACAATCTGCACGGTATGTCAGACCAGGATATTCCGTAATGTGACATCAGTCAAGTACAACACCTGCCTTGGCTGGTGCCACTTTAGGGCATGCTCAGGTCTGCGTACCACGCGAGATTGGACTGGGAACTTCGAGGGCCCGTGTTGCGCTGCTCGGTCGCAGACCCCAATTGCGACGCCCCCCACCACCACCACAGGGCGGCAATCACCACAGCAGCACACACAGCCAACGGCGGCAAGAACATACACTTCACTTACACCCCACATCACGACACGTCTCCCGAACCACATGAAGCTCCTTCAATTTAACTGCAACGGGCTACAGAGCAAGATTGAGGAGATAACCGTCTTCATGTGTCGGCATGGTATATTGATAGCTGCGGTCCAAGAGACGAAGTTGCACAGCAATTCAACTTTGTTAAATTGTACCGGGTACAACGTGCACCGTCGAGATCGCGAGCGAGATAATGGTGGTGGCTTAGCGTTCATCACGCACCACACCGTGCAGTATCGTCTTATCGAAGCAGACATCGACCGCAGGGATACCACCCTAGAATTTCAGGGCATCGCTATCCGGTCAGGCGATGTCGAGCTCGAAATATTTAACATATACATACCCCCTGTCACCTGCTGCCCGGCAGGATACCACCCTGATATAGGTGCGCTCCTCAGAGGTGAAAACCGTATGGTAGTAGGTGACTTTAATGCGCACCACGATCTTTGGCACTCAAGCCTGTCAAACGATCGTAGGGGAACAGACTTGGCTGAGCAGATAGACGATTCGACATTCTGCACAATGAACGACGACGCACCCACCAGGATTATGGGTAACTGTAGTAGCTCGCCAGACATCACAATAGTCAGCGCTGGTCTGATAAACAGCATAACGTGGCGACCTATGCTGACTCTAGCATCAGACCATCTACCCATAGTCATCTCGATAGATAAACCAACCGACTTTGCCTCCGCCAAACACCGGACCTATATCAACTTTTCTAAAGCTGATTGGAAAGGTTACGCGGAGTTTACCGAAAACACCTTCACAACGCTCCCCACACCAACCGACGTCCATCTCGGTGAACGTAAGTTCCGCAGGGCTATCATTGCTGCTGCAGCTCGTACTGTTTAACTTTTACATTTCAAATCTCCCTCAACCACCAGAGGGAGTCTCGATTGTCTCTTATGCCGACGATTGCTCGATCATGGCGACTGGGAATGGAATTGATGACCTGTGTTCGAAAGTAAACGGCTATCTCTCCGAACTTTCTCGCTTCTTCACTGCAAAGTGTCTAGCCCTCTCCCCTACGAAATCCTCCGCGACCCTGTTCACAACCTGGACGAAGGAGGTCAGGCTACCGCTGGGGATTCACGTCGATGACACACCAATTCAGACGGTGAATAACCCCAAAATACTCGGAGTAACTTTCGACAGCCTGCTCTCCTTCTCTGCGCACTCAACCGCTATTGTCAATAAAGTACAGAGCCGCAACAAGGTCCTCAAGTCGCTAGCCGGCAGTACTTGGGGCAAAGACAAAGAAACGTTGCTGGCAACATACAAGGTAATAGGCCGGCCGGTTTTGAACTACGCAGCGCCAGTGTGGTCGCCAGGGACTAGTAGGACGCAGTGGATGAAGCTACAGACTGTACAGAACACCGCACTCAGGACAGCGACAGGATGCCTCCTGATGTCGCCAGAACACCGCCTGCACGGCGAGGCGCAAATGCTCCCTGTAAAGGAGCATAATATAATGCTCTGCAAGCAGTTCCTGATCGGGAGCCACAGAAGTGGCCACCCAAGCAGACAGCTGCTTGCAGAGGAGCCCTCGCCTAAGCACGTCAGGAGGCATCTATATGAACTGACGGACGAAGTCCAGAGGTTCATTAAGCAACCTCTGGACCCGACAGCTTACAGACAGGCCCTGAACGGCATTCACAGGGACTCAGTCTCGAGTTATGTAGACTCTAGACCTGTGAATGCCGTTCTAGGCATACCACCCCCGGACATAGACGAGACGGAGCTTCATCTGCCTCGGGAGACACGCACAACACTCGCACAACTTCGCTCCGGCTACTGCAGCAGGTTGAACTCTTACTTGAGTAGGTTGAATGAGGATGTGCCGAATGAGTGTCCGGCATGCGGAGAGACCCCACATGACTCGAAACATCTCTTCGCATGCCCGGAAAACCCGACAACCCTAACGGCCTTGTCCCTGTGGACAAACCCCACAGAAGCTGCACGCTTCCTAGGGTTGCCGTTAGTGGAACTTGACGACAACGACTGAGATACCAACCGTCCTGGGCGGGGTTGTTGTAGCCGCTACAACAACAACAACAACCTTACACTTCATTTTAATTTAATTTAATATTAAAAAACCACACAAAATGTCGAAAAAGAATCAAAAAACTTTATTCACACACAAATCGCAACGGTATTCAAAATTCAACTGTAGACGAACTTATTACATACATACATATAAACATGTCTGCATACATACAAACATTTTGCTAAAATGACGTCACACGAACAGCTGATTCTGTCAAATTCGCCAAGAACAAAGTAGCGGTACTGCTGATTGCGCCACCTCTGTCTACCTACCCTACAAGAAATCTTACTGGCAAATGACTGGTCATCTGACGGTCAGTGCTGATGCAATAATGCTGCAATTTCCTCATCAGAAATTCGGGGGTAATATGAAAAACCTGACCAGTTCTTTTGTGTAGATGTCACTATGCTTCCCTTCCTCACATGGGAATTTTACCAGCAGTGTTAGAAGGTCTCTTTTCTACTTATTGTATTTCCTAATGTTATTTTTACACATGGTTTTCTGAGTATTGGTGTATATTTTAGTGTGTTAGTGAAGAGGGCAGAAAAAAAGTCCTTTTCTTGTAGGGTACATCGTGGTAAAATCCATCAAATCATGCAAGGCGAATTTATACAAGGTGGTGTTGTCCAATCAGCTGATTTCTTCTTCTTTCCTTCGCCTTACATGTATTTTGTTTTTGCTTTTACTGATTTGACAGCATGCCCCTGAATAGCACCAACAAAATACATGTACACTTTGAGGCGAATTGAGTTTTGACATTTTGCCCCTGATACAAAATACATGTGGTTGTTGTTTGTTGTATTCTTGCTACCACCTTGTATAAATTCGCCATGAAATCTTGCTATTCGTACTGCTGTTGGAACGCAACAATTTAGTAGGAGGTGGAGACGTGGGGTTAATTCGCCTTGGCCTGCTGGAATTCTTGCCTGCTGGGTGTAACAGATAAATCGATTATTATGGACAATAAGGGTATTCATCAAACCTTATAACCGTATAAACTTATAATTGTGTAAACCTTATAAATGAACTGTCAAAATTTGTATGGAAACACGTTTACACATTTCTGATTTATTTATTTAGCGATTTCTCTGAATAAACTTGATAAACTGAAGCCAATGCAACTCTGTCGCAACTTTAGCTATGTTTTCTTCCACAATAATCGGGATCCGCATACAAATTTTGCACGCAAATTCAACAACAACGATCTGATCCTGATAGAGATGTGGTTCAATTATTATCCCGCCTGTTTGTTTTGTTTCGCTGATAATTTGGCCGCAAAGTTTTGGTAGCCGTGACAAATGAATTCATACGCAAACAGACATTCTGCCATTGTTTCTTCTAACTTGGTTAAAATTAATCGCCTTTATGTTATTTGTATATTTATTTAAATAGATATTATCTCGTAAATATAATTGGTTCCAATTTAGTGAGGTAGTTTCTATAATTTCTTTATACCCGTGCTAGTAGTATAAAGTTAGTGATACTGAGCTCTATAACGAAACAAAACACAACTATTGTCGCAATTGTAAACGAAAAGAGAGTGTGGGTCGTTCATGTAACAGAGTGCGTAAACTTATAAGATTATCTGCTTGATAAAGTTATCGGTTTAGATGAATACCACTAATATCTATTTTGACTAGCCATGGGTAATAGCGCAATTTTTTTGGCGCTAGCTCAATAATGACAGCGCCACCTGTGGTGTCAGCGTACTAACTCAGCGCATTAGTGCAGTGTACTGAATTGAACACGGTGCCATCTGAGTGTCACTACAGTACCCATCGTCATACAGTGTAGTACACCATACAGTGGTGTCATGTCTATTATTTCTATAATTTTCGGCGCTGAGCAACGCTTGTATCGCCAACCAAATTTAATTGATAGGAATGTAGTAAATCCCACGATATTCTCATCATTCTTGAGTAAGAGCTTTAAATTTGCGTTCTCAACGCTAAAAAGCAAAAACAAAGTACGTGTAAATTTTCAAAGGCGAATTGTGTTGGTTGGTGTTAATGGCGCTGGCGCTTTCCATATACTGGTATTGGCGCGGCAACTCCGGCTACGGTGTTAACGTAATTGCGCCGCGCAGTGTTACCCATGCATAGTTTTGACTGTTCTTCATAGTGAATTTATTGTTTATTTTGACGGACTGGTAGAATTAAATATTTTTTGGAAAACAGGATATTTCTTCCTTTGTAATGTCTCATGATCGAGAAATTCTGCGACTAATATGGGAGGGGCAAATACCGATATGTTTTCAGGCTGATTCTGAAGAAATTGTTGGCTTACAACAACCGGAGAATTTCTATTTAATGGTTTCGCGGTTAAGCTATTTACCATTAGTAACAGATAAGGTAAGAGATTGGAGTAGTAGTGCATATTTTTAAATATATTTTTCTTACCACTAGGTGAAAAAATATTTTAGCCGGTATATTTCTCATGAACAAGACAGAAATGTGTGGTTTGATTACAATGGAATCCCCTTAAAATTGCATTATCCAATTGGTAAGTGTAGTATTCTTCTTGTGGTAAAAGTGCACATTAGCAGAACCAGGCCAAAATTGACAAAAAAATCGAGGGACGCGTCAACGCCACTAATAATCGAGAGCGGAAATTAAAATTTTTATATAATTAAAAAGTTATTTGAAAAAAAAAACACCGGCACCACAGTATATGCCGTAATAAACCTCGCAGTTTTTCACCAATTGATCCCTTAGGAGTACTTTTTGGTTGTGTGCAGCGTTTTCGCATTGCACGCACGGCAACACTACTGTGGGGATTCAGCCTCATGACTAGAAAAAGATCGTCTAGGATAAAATATATATAATTGTGTTATTTATGAACAAAATGTAGGTTAAGTATAGTATCAATGCTTAATTTAGAATAAATCAATAGTTAAGTACATAATTAACGCTTGTGGTTCTATAAACTGGAAACCCACATCGTATTATGACAAAACGTGCATTTATCAAAGAAAACTTCCCACGACAGCCGGGTCTACGTAACCGGAACGACCCAGATTTATATCTGGCCAAGGACTGTCACTCCAGCAACACTCCCCAAAAAGTCTTTGGGGAATTTGTATGCTGCTACAACAACAACAACAACAACAACATCAAAGAAAACTAAATTTCCGAATATATTTAAGTCTATTCCAAAAAAAAGAACAAGGTTTGTTTAGTTATAGAGACTCCAATGCCTGCCAGCGCAACCGCCCAGACAGCTTATTTAGCGCACCCAAGTTTGAGCGGAACTCTTCAAAAATAGGCTGACTTCCAAAACGTCAGTTGCTTTGCATATGTACAAAGCAGGGTTGTTGCGAATATTATTCCGAAATAAAAGTATTTTCCGGATAATAAACAAACCGCTTATCCAAATTAAACAAGTTTGGTATCAAATGAAAGAGGACTTAAATAGCTTTAAAACTGAAATACCTAAACGAGGAAAGCCACATTGAAAAGTAATTCAACAAAAAATGTTAATTAATTACCATAGAACAAACCTTGTCAGGTATATGCATTTCTTTAGTATTAAATTATAAAAAAAAATATAAATTGAGGTCGTTCGTTATTTCTGTTTAAAAGCTATTTCAGTCCTCTTTCATGTGATACCAAATTTGTTTAATTTGGACAGGCGGTTTGTTTATTATCCGGAAAGGACTTTTATTTTGGAATAATATTCGTAACAACCCTGGTACAAAGTATAATGTTCCATAACGCCGAACTACAAAATAATGACAATGTATACTTTTCCGAAACGCATCCGAAAAGTTATCCAAACGTATCGCTAGAACAATCAGCGCATCAGAAACAATGTTGATGCTTCGTTTGTTAATGGTAACCATTGGTGTTTTAAAAATGGAAAGTTCAGAAAAATTTTTCTTTGCTACATATATTCAATATTTAAAATATGCAATGTATATGGTTGCAATGTATCGCAACTCTGCATATACAAGTACTTTGGATACCGCAGTATAACAGTATCCAAACATTAGGTAACCCGGAGCTCCTTAGAAATACTTAATATCGATTTGATCAAAATATAGGATGACACAAATATGAATCATAACCACATGCAAAGCAATTGCTATGAATTGCTACCGTATAAATTCAGGACACGCATTCGCTTGGAGACTACGTTGGTTATGGTGGTCATAGATAGATAGATTATTAGAGGCTATGCACTACGACCTTAGGTCTATTGTGCCCTCGGAGCTCATCTCAACACATCGTCCAATCCCAATGCTCTGATGAATCCGAGCAGTTTCGAGGGAGGTAGAGAGTGTATATGCGTAGCCTCTGGCCACATCCTTCCCAGTTGAGTTAGCCTTCTTCTCGCAACCTCATCGCATTCCAATAGGAGATGCCGTGGGGTTTCTGGTGTCACATCGCAGTACCGACACAAATCGCCTGCACTGATCCCCAGGTTATACATATGGGCCCTCCGTCTGCAGTGCCCAGTTAGCATTCCTGTTAAGAATCTCAGGTTAGTCTTTGGAAGGGTTATTAGTTCCCTAGATCTTTTGGGGTTATATCCTCCTAGAAGTTCTTTCGCCTGTCTTAGCCCAGGCGTGTTCTCCCAAAGTGCTTTTCTTAGGCTTCGTTCTTCTGCTGTTGTTGTTGTAGCGGCTACAACAACCCCGCCTGGGATCGTTCTTCTGCTCTTAACTCCTCCTTGATTGTATGAGGCCCCAATGCAAGGAAGGGTTCAGGGGCAATGGGTCGAGTGGCTGCGGCCTCTCTTGCTAGTGTATCAGCCTCCTCGTTTCCCTGTATGCCTTTGTGGCCCGGGACCCACACCAGTTGTAGTGCGTTGTTTTCCCCCAGGGTGTTTAATCTCGCTACACATTCCCATACCACTTGTGATTTAATGGTGATATGGCCTTTAATGCAGCCTGACTGTCGCTGCAGATAACTATATGTTGCAGTCTTGCTTGTCTCTGCAGAATTATTTCCGCACAAGCACTTATGGCGTAAACCTCCGCTTGAAAAATACTGGGGTAATTACCCAGGGGGATGGAGATCTTAGCCCTTGGGCCAAATATTCCTGCTCCTATCCCTTCGTCGGTTTTTAAGCCATCGGTGAACCACCTTGGGGTGTGAGCCTTGAAGATGTTTTCTAAGATTGTCTCATTCCAGGTCGCTTTGTTGCCTAGTTGAATCCTGAATTTCTTTTCAAAGATTGTCGTTGTACTCATGTCATCCCTGTTGAGCTGGGAGATAGGGATCTTAGATCTAATTTCATCTACCAATCTGCTCGAGATCACTTTCCCTCTTCCAGTGCCCGCCTTATGAAGTTGAGGAGGGCTTTTTTGGCAATCTGTTCTATAACTATGTGCAGTGGCGTCAGGTCCAAAATGACCTCCAGGGCAACGGTGGGGCAGGTTCGCATGGCACCCGTTATACATGCGCACGCCAGCCGCTGGAGTTTGGAGAGCGATGCTCTCACTGTTAAAAGTGGTCCTCTCGGACCACGCCACCGCTCCATATGTAGCTATTGGCCTGGCTAGCATGGTGTACATCCACCTTAGGAAATAGGGGCTGCATCCCCATGATTTGCCGGCCAGTCTTCTGCACACCATTAGAGCCCGTGTGGCCTTTGTGACTGCGTACTCATGTTGCGTCCCCTCTTAATTAGGCTGCTTGTCCTTCGTGCTAGTTCCGCACGGGTGCTCTACTGGGTGCTTTGGCACGTTGGCGCTAGCGAACCAAGGTTTGTATTAGGCTTCGCGCCTAGCTTTAGCCCAAAGACTCGGGGCTATTTAAAAAAACTTTCAATATTAAAAT